GCGACAGTTATTGGTACATGGGTTTGAATATTTGGTCCATCTACTGTAGTACCACTAGTACTAGCACTAGTACAAGCACTGCCACTACTGGTACAAGCCTACATGTATGTAGGTATATATATATATATATGTGTGTATAAAAATTGATATGCATACTGTATAATTATATGTATGACGCGTGAGCTACATGATGTCCACACCTGCAAGTACAGCACTGATGTTAGAACAAATACTGTACTGTGCTGGGCTTCCGAACCAGGACCAATCATCGCCAAAAAGGACTCCAGGCACAGCCAGGAGCCGCCAGGCTTCAGTCACCTTCTTTCGTTCAGCAAGGAGCAACATATCGATGGACGAACCCCGTCTATGGAAAAATCCTTTCTTCCCTTTGTAAAGAAGTGCCTGCACTGCTTGAAAGACAAAGTGAATCATGCTCCTGCTTTCACGGGGCATTGTCTTTTCCTTTCTCCTCTGATCTGGCATTGTCGCATAGCCATGGGGCTAGAGAACAAATTAGCTTGCAAACTTGCAAAGCTTTGATAGCATGTGATGGATGCAAGGAGATGAGAAACACCCCTGACAGGAATTAATACTCAGGAACACGAAGGGCGGGTCTGTCTAAGAGAACTGTAGAGCATAAAGAGGTCCCCTCATGGAAAGCCAGGCCCCCCAATTTGTATACAACACCTACAAAGGTACACCTGTATACTGTATGCATCACTAACAAAGCTTCTGAATTCTGAATCAACATTGCTTGAGACATAAATAGAGTCAGCCCTGGCTACTTTCCATGTTCCGTCCTGTTGAGGATCGCCAGGCAATATATCTAGTTATATACATGTGATTGAATATGTACCGGTTAGCAGTATCTCTCTCATTTTGCCAAGCCTACAGTGGAAGCACAAATCAACGATTCCCTCTGATTACCTTCATTCTATAGCGAGTAGAACAACATCATAGTATCATTCAGGGTGTATATAGATTATATAGATCCATGTCATGAGCAGTGAGTAGCGAGCAAACAATGGACAACAAAAGTATGTTTTATTTCCTAATAGCAATGGCCTCCAACCAAACAGCGATGGTCCCCAACCTACTAGCGATGGCTTCCAACCTAATAGCGATGGCCTCCAACCAAGAGTGTCTCCGGACTCTCCAGCCTCCAAGAGTGTTTCTCCGGCTTCATGGGCGCTGTCTAGGTAGATGATCTGAGACAAATCACAGCAGGGAATCATGTTGTTTGGACCTTGGACTTTGTCCTCTTTTTCCCAACCATGTACACTTTATCAGTAGCGTGTGATTTTCATATTGCTTCCAAAAACAACAGTTTGGCAACAAGAAGTTGTGGCCGATACGGCCGATACGGTGGGATTCCAGAATTAACAGTGGGAGCCTGGACCAGGTTGAAGGTTGACTTTGTAAAGCCAAAGAACTGGCATAATAGACCAGCCCTTCAAGATGCAAGCTAGGAGAAGCCAGCCAAGTCGAGACAAAAGTTTGGATGCTGGTTTCGTATCGGGCTGTGACCAACCTACTAGCTGCTTACTAGCTAGTATAGAATGTAAACCATCATATCAGCCAGCCTCGACCAGGCCACCCAAGTGGGGGATCTCAACATCACTTAGTTTGTCCAACAATTCCGAATTCATTAAGCTACAGTCCTCACCAAAGCCCAAATGCACACGCCGAACTCCATGGCGCTGACAGTGTCAGTCGCCAACTTTACACACAAAATTGGTTAGGCTGCAATGTGATCCTCGCCTCTGGCGGATGATCGATGCGTCCTTGCTCAAAGAGAGTCCTGGCACTCTGTCGGCTCAGCTGGAAAGGTCCAACAAGGCTGATGTACAAGGAACAAGGCGTATGACGTACTGTAAGGGATATGAAGGGGAATCACATTGACAATTCAACGCCCAATTTCCCACCAAGCCGTACATATTTACCGAATCCTTCCCACAATGGCTCCAGCTTAGAACAAATTTACCTCTAATTTGTCATAGATGTCGTTTCTACATTGAAAGCAAAGCTAGTAAAGCTTCAATCCCTCAGGCTACAATGTTTTTTCCCCTTTTTTTTCGGCGCCAACATTCGTCGAACATTCTACCTATGACCAGAACGTGCGACAACTCGATCGCCAAAGTATCAAACACTTAGCACAGTCGGCAGATCATGACCCCCGTGGTCCTCAATAGTCTGAGGCCTGTGATCGAACTCACCTTATAAGTCACCGATCAGCCAGTCTGGTTCATCTCCAAGACTAAAACAGAGAAACAGCATACAGTATACAGTATCTCGGAGATCTCCTGAAGACCCCCTGAAAGATTGAATGCAAACCCAAACCCATTGGTTAGGAGTCTCCCTATTGCTGTAATCCTCCACACCACCACTGTTTGATGTACTCTGGAACCCTAACAAAACGATTCCAAGTACCTGCAAGAAGTCTATTAGGCCAACAACATCCAACAACTAGCATTTAGAACGGCCATGGCTGTCAGGGGCCTTTGGCATTCGCATGCATTCGCCATCCTTGCTGGTTGTTCAACCACCAGGAAACTTGGATGTGGTGCACGACGCCAAACTCTGCACTCTGAGGTTCTGAGGTCAAGGCTCGCAGCGGCAAAATATAGTCCTTGCACGGTGAGAAATCTACATTAGCAAAGGTCAATGAAGCGGATGATGTGGCCTCCAAAATACTACAGAGATGATGAACACAAAAAAAAGGTCAAGTGTGTTTTGACCAGGCCTAGATCCATGGCGCGCTCTTCACATGAAAACATGACTGGACAGTTTTCGAAAGTTCCTGTGGTCCTGGGGAAGAGAGCTGAAATCGCTCGCTGTTCTCATAACCTTGTTTAAGCTTTCCGGACTCATCTTGACTCATCGTGCAGCAAAAGATGCTCCAACACCTTCTATGCCCAAACCTTCAGAGCTCAAGAATGATGAACTGGTTCGTTTCGGACTTTCCAATCAGCTCCTCGTGGCCACTGTAGCGGACGTTTGCTAGAAACATTTCGTAGATCCGGGAGTGTCCGAACTCATCCATTAGCAAAGGCCCATCCTCAGCAGATTCATAGCGGACAATACTCAGAAACATCGATCAAATAGTCTGAGCAGCCGATGCAATTGTTCATGAAACTCTCTTTGCATTCAACAATCATCGAGCCCTCATTTGTTCAGTCTTTTAGTTCAAGAAATGTGAAGGAAGGATGACGGTGCAGGGCGTGGGGTTTATTCATGGTCATTTATGGTTGTTCATCCAGGGTTCGCAATAGTTGCAATCCCAGCCACTGCCACATGTCGACGCTGCGTTAGACCAAACGCTTCACGGAATGCCTGGCCGGCGCGGTCAAACTATGTCATTGTGTTTCAAATTCCCAACTCTGAAATACTGTATACCCGTGTTCACTGTATTCAAATTTGGACAATAATACGATGAAACACTCCTCCTATGGTAGTTGTCAAGATTAGAAGCTTGTCACATTTGTCTCCATACTTTTAGTGCACCAGGGGGGTTGCAAAGCTTCCTGGCAAATGGTGCAAGACATCTTGACAAACCTCGCCTTTCGGTCTGCCCACATGTCCACCATCCCAGTGAAGGGATCAACACCTGAGTAGCTCGAAAAGCCAAGTGGACAGGCACAAGACATGCTTGTATTTTGAGATTGGAAAACAAGCATAAACTGCCTCAGCTCGAGGACTCAAAGGATATCATATATAAAGTGTTATGAACACGACTTGACCATTGATAGTGTTCAACGTCACGTGAGTATCGTTGCATTTATCAGCCTTGTTCTTGTTCCCCAAAAGTTGAACTCTGAAACCGATGATGAGGCATGGTTTTTTGGACCATGTTGATTCCTGAGCCCTCCACAAACCACACCAGTGCTCAAGCGGAGACTCTTCAAGGTCGTCGCTGCCTCTGTGCTAGATCGGTCAAATGACAAGAACAAAAACCAACACACAAGGGATCTCAAGGATAAGTTATGAACAATTGAAAACCCCTCTCAAGCCTTTGGTTCTTGGTGCGAGGCTCAAAAAACTATCATCTTTGTGCTAATTCACAACGCAGCTAGCATGGACATGATTTACACACTTGGAGCTCACGGTGACTTTTGGTTCTGAACGGTTGAGGGTGATGCTAAAGCAGTAGGAAAGCTTACCTGCTTGAAGAAATCCCTGAGCATACTGTGCTCATGGTTCCCTCGATCCAACTCGATTCCCTGCCAAGGGGCAGTGATGGCACTGCTGCCGATAAAAGAGCCAACCTGCGAGCTCATGTGTATTCCTGAAGCTGAAGCAACAAACACATGAATACTAGAATAACCAATTAACTCATGACATACAGTATATGCAGAAGCTTGAATAACATAGATTGATGATATTCATCTATATAATAGTATATATATATGTATAAGAATAAAGATACGACAAGCAGGTGCTTGGCCCCCGTTAAAGGGGACATTTTTACAGGGCCCCAAGCTCCTTCCTGTTTCCTCTCTTATGAATTTCTGCAACACACGCTGTTTTGACCCAGGGTCGTGACAAATTCCAACAAAAGTCACCAGAATTTCCATAATCTACAATAATTAGGAAGGTATCAAACTCATGGTACTATCATACTATCTATACTTGCTTTACGCGTTTGAACTGAATCCCAGCCCGTATGTCTATCGGCTTCGGAGCCCAAAACTTTTCTGGAACCCAACGAAAAGTAAGTTACACCTGCGGAGGTCTCCCATTCCGCTTCAAGCTCAAGGGGGGTAGAGATCTCAATCCACATGCATGAATCCTTCCAAGAATCCTTGCCACCCATTGTCAAGCCCTCAAATTCCCCACTGAATATCAAAACTAGAAAAAGGATGCAACATGATGCAACAATCCAATGCAGCGTTCTGAAGTGCCTTTGATGGCTCTAGGCTATAGGTCACCGAAGAGTTGTGCATCGTATGGTCTGTGCTACGATCTGACAAAACGTCCTTCTCGGTGCCTCTAGCCACATGCGAGGTTCCGGAACAAAGCTTAGTACCTCAGGGAATGAAGCGCTCCGAAACAGACCATGCCCACCCTGGAACACTCATTTCCAGGCGCCCGGTTTCTAGCACAGGATAGATCTCATTCTTTCACCTATTGTAAGTTCAGGTCTTGGAGTCTTGGAGGTTGAACACCTACCAATTGATGCATATGCATATCCTCTTCGTTCTTCAGCAGTCTAATTCCGTTAAGTCACAACTGCTTCTAGGCTGCCACGCAGACTTCATTAAGGCGGGTGTTAGGTGGCTGTCCGGGTAGCGCAACTGGCCAGGTCTACAGTTGACAACCCAAAGCACATAAACGAACCATCTCTTCGACTTGGATGTCATCTATATAATTAATGCTGACGCAAATACATAACAATGAGCCATATTGACCTGCCAAATCTATCTTTATTCCACTCACCAGAAAACCGTTAGGCCCTGGGCCACATCAAATGCCAATGTGTAGTGGGAGTCTCTCGGCAAATGCCTGGCCTGTGGCTGATATTGACCACACACCTTGGCAGACTCTGTTCCTTGCTCACTGTTGCGCAAGTGCAGGCCACAAATGAGCCGGAGCCGGCGCAGAAATACAACACGTTAGTTTGCCTTGATCATCCAGCTCCAAGGCCCTCCTGCAGACCAAAACTCCGTGCCTGTAGTGCCTGTAGACTTGAAGCGGTGGCCTTTGGTTTTTGAACTACGCAAGGGCTCAACATGAAACGCTTCAATCCACAAATAAAAGTCCACTCATACTTGGTACACAAGTGTAGTTCCAGGATGAATTGGCGATGAGACAAACCCTGTTCAATCCCTGCTCCAACCGACGGGCCATTGAAAGAAATGACAGCGGGGAGGCTGTGAGAAATGCCTGATGCCTCTGAGATGCTACGAGCCATGCAGTCAGATTTGAGGCGCCAACAGTGCCAAGAATGGAGTACCTTGGTGTACGTAGTGCTAACGATGCTTAACTCTTGATTTGGTAGATCTTTGCAGGAGGGAAACGTTGGATCAAATCTTACACAAGCATGGTGTTTCTTTGCCAAACAACTACGGCATTCTCGAGGGATATTGTTCATTTATATATATACAGTAATGCCAGCCAAATCATGCCAAATCCACTGTATAATCCACTGCCCATCAACTATCGGGTGTCACTTAGTGTGCTTGGCCTGGCATGCTTTCAAACAGTCACAGTATGAGGCCAGGACACATCTTGATTCGTGAAGAGTTCCTCTCGCAGCCTGCGATATCCCACAAAGCGTACCCACCAAATCCATTGGGCACCGGAGTGGAACCTTGTCGCGGCTTACAGGAACCTGGTCTCAATCGCGCAGGCTCTTCCTCTTTCAATCGTACATGTTCAGAATGCCGCTGCTAAACGTTTTTGTCATGATGAAGTTTGTTTCACTTAATAATCCTTGTCAAAGCCCGCCTCTGACAAATTACTGGTGCTTCACCTAATTTATGATCGTGCTGCAACCTCGTTGGGAAAGAACAAGGAGGTTGCTGTAAAACAGATTCTGAACTGTAGTAGTCATTCACATCAATTTTCCTAGCCCTAGCATTTGGCACCTGCGCTCTCCGTCGGTCCGAGTTGGTACTCTGACCTAAGTAGACTTTTAGCGATGGCCTCCACCTAATTAAGAGCGATGGCCTCCACCCAATACCGTCGACTCTGACCTTAGGACAGTTCTGGCTTGCAGGCCAGTTACAAGAAGCTACGACCGGCAAGCCTCGTAATGACCTCCGGTACACCTGGCAGCCGTAGCGTGTGAAAAAGCAACAATCGATTCACAATTAAGAAGTTCAAAAAGAACTCCCAATTCCGATTGCTGGATTACCGTATCTCCACTCCGCTTATGCGCACGTTGCGGTTAGGCAAACACTGTACCCATCCGTCTCGAACCATCTCAAACCCAGGAGATGGAGAAACTATATATCTGATTGTGGACCCTTGCAAAAAGGTCAATCAATGTATATAAATTAGCAAATCAATGCAAATCACAGACTCTCTGCATGCGACCATTGAAGATGCAAAGCATTGTCTTCTTGACTGACTAATGCATACTAATGCAACGAGCATTGGCACACGAACAATCGTACATCCAGGCAATACCGTGTATGGTATCAGCTTGTCAACACATTTTGCGTTCGTGGGCGTTGATTCTGCCACAGATCGATTCAGCGAAGTAGCCCACTTCTGCAGCATCCCCCCTGCCTAAAGGCTTTTCTGGGAGACCACAACACCTGGAGTGACCATGGTGCCAAGGGGTCGGGTCTGGTATGAAAATGGAGCTACAGAACTGATGCTTGCGGAGGCAAAAGCTGGGATTGGTCTGAAACAAGTCTTTAAGTTTAGTTTAATGGTTTGATTGATATTCATATCCAATGACACAGAAGCTCATCCCAAAGAACAAGGGTAAAGCTACCGCATCAACATCTATATGACATACAAGTCTGAAACCAATCCAGAGTAAGGGAAATAAAACTGATGTTCCTAAGAACATATCAATACATCGCATGTGCATCCAAGAGATGAGGAAGTATCTCAGTATCTCCGGATCATTTTCATGGAAACACAATCTCTCTCTCTGAATCATCAAAAAAAAACAATCGAGATAATTTTCATCAAACAAACACAAACTATCAAGCCATCAATCTCAGTGATCTTGATTTCGACTTCTCGATTCTGTGTCAACCGAACTTCCAACGTTTTGGGGAGAAGAACTCCAAGCCGGCCAAGCCCTAGGCCTCTCCGCAGTGAAAGTGCCTTCAAAGCCTCAAAAGAACAAGGTCATGAGCAATATTGTGTGGTTTGAGATGGTGTATGAATTTCCTTATAATCTTCTTGTGGGTCATCCATTATCTGCAAAATGGGACATTGTCGTGCCCACTGTGAAACGCACCACCAATAACTCTTCTGTAAGATCCAGTCAACTTGTGGCATGGCTTTTGCCTGCCTTTTCTCTTGCTCATTCTTGACGCTGCTTATGATCTGTTCTGCTCAACAGATCAAGAAACACTCTGTGTTGTGACTCTAGCATTGACCGACAAATCCGAATCCCATTCTCCAAATCTATCGCAATTCAAGAGTTTGATCGACAACATTCACACGGGAAGTGGACCATGCCTCATTCCAGAAGACTTGGTCCATCTCAACTATGGAGATCTTTGATAAATCTCTGTCTCCACAAGATGCTTCAAACAGCAGGCCGACCGAACGAGACATCTCAGCCTAGGAGACATCCTGTCTGTGGTTTTGAACGGGGAAAGCAAGACATCCCCCAAAACCACGGTTGGACGCGTTGAAGCTAAGCTGCACTCGAAGCGAGGTTGCGGTAAGCAGCAGGACCTCGGCGCCATGAAGAAGTGCAGCAGTAGAAAACAGGAATGAAATCCAAGTTGCCGTTGGAATCGATCCGGACACAAGCCAATGGAATGCCATGGACATCACCGTATTATTGTAGATCATGTAGACGATCTCTGTAGACGTGTTGTTCAGTTTGTTCTGAATGGATTCTCTGCATGCATCTAGATAAACTGTGTTGCAATGCAGCAAGCCATTGCAACTCAGGAGCACCAGTGCTGCAAATGGCAGGAGCTGATCTGGGACATCAAATCCCGTCAGTTTCTTTTGGACAAGGTTGGCTGAGGCAGAAATGTGGTCAAATGGTAATGGTTCGAAGTGGGTAAGTCTTGAAAACAGCAGCAACAGCAACGACAACAGCAACCACTGCCCTCATAAGCGATATTCTCATCGTGAGCATGACATGGCTGCCAGAAGGGTTCATTACACATATATATATATACAGTATATAATGACTAGATGTTTATTCGAGGAGGCCACCAGAAGCTACACATCCAAACCTCATATGTGTTTGTTTCAAGTATATAATGGTAAGTAAGGAGTATATAGTGGAGTGTGGACGCTGCAGGAAAAGTAAAGCTGTGTCTTCCAAGGCTCTTGGAGCATTGGCCATCGGAGCTTTCTGCATCAATTGTATTGGCTTCGAGCAGTGTTGAACGTGTTCATACGTTGCGAAGGTTGGGGTATTCCTAGGGGGAAGTGCTGATAGGATTGCATGGAATCCAATCCAACTTAAAGGTTCAGGGCCAAATTATCTGCTAATGGGCTATCTCGTCCTACTAGTAGTAGCAGTAGTAGTAGCAGCAGCAGCAGTAGTAGTAGTAGGAGTAGTAGTAGTAGTAGTAAGTAGCAAGTAGTAAGTAGAAGTAATAGTAGTAGTAGTAGTAGTACTACTACTACTACTACTAGTACTAGTACTAGTACAAGTACTACTACTACTGCTACTACTACTGCTACTACTACTACTCCTACTACTAACTACTACTGCCATCAGAGCCCTTTACGCGGCCTGCAGCCTTACTCAGTCCTTAACTAAGTAGTAGGGCGAACAGTGTAATTCAACTTGAAGACACGCGTCTCTGTTTTGGGCCCAGTCTAGTATCGTGCACTATTGCGCACTACTAGGTGCTCCGGGCTCGAAGGTCAACGACCCATAGCCAAAGCCTCGGAAAAACCGAGGAAAGAATGCCCTTCTTCCACGAGGCAAAGTAACCAGGTATCTTTGTCCCAACAACACGGGACATCTCCACTTTACTTCATGATTGTCAGCAACATTCAGGGGGACGGAGATGCAAACTTGCAACGTTTTGGGATTGTATGTGTTTGTTTTTTTCTCCGCAAGTTGTGATGCGGTGGCTACAAGCATGGCACGCCAAGCAAGCTAGCCTTCCGTCAAATATGTGAAGCTTGAGGGGTTGCACTATTTCCCTTACTTGACACTACCTCCACAATAAATAAAGAACGTTGATGAGATTGCAGGCTTGGAAAAGGCTGTAATTCGCAGGCGATTGTCTTGGAATGAGCAAGTAAAAGCACGCTGTGGCGGTAAATATACCAAGCAAAACAGCGCACCTCCGGTGAGAGTCTATGCTTTGTTCATCTTCATTCTCTTGAGAAAGTATTGAGCGCTAGCTGCTGGGAGTTGGATTCTAGGTGGATTGTCGTCAGCATACCAACAATTTGGGCCAGCTTGACAAGCAACACCCACCAGCTTGATTTCGAAATTCAAAGTGTGTTGCTAACCTTTTATGTCTGAGTCAGAAGAGTCCGTGCACACAGAAAGCACCAAACAAACCAACACATCCTGAAAGCAGCTTAAGCAGTAACATATTCAGGCTACGTGTTGTCAACCAAAATTCCTCAGAAGGCTAGCTGAGACACAGGCAGTCTGGATCTCCCTGGGCAAGCCACAGAGCCAACAAAGGACAAAACAAAAAAATGGTGCGTCCATGGCCCTTCTGCAGGGTGTCCATGGCCCTCCCATCCAACCTTATTACAACCTTTGCATTCAAGCATATTGATGAATAATTCTGAATAATGCTGATTAACCTAAACTGTGAGGCGAACTTCAACTTGAGGTGGTGAGTAATGAATAGTAATGATGCATGTCCTCGTCGACCGGCACTCAAACCGCTCAGTTTACATTCACCACCCAGTGGCCCAGGTGTTTTCCGGGAGCTTTCCCCCCACCTCCTGAGCGGTCACCAAAGATCCGAGCAGCAGTACCTGTATATAGAGGCACTGCTGTGGGAGTTTTAGGTGTCCACTAGACTCCATGTGTCAGCATGCTCCGGCTTTTGTTATACATATATATATATATACTGATGAATGAAGCCAACAAAGACATTACGTGTATATATAACAAAAAAAGTAGGGACTGGCCAACAAAGTCATGTGGACTGGCACTGGCAAAGGGTTGGTAATCGAATTGACTGCTACCGCGATGCCCAGGTTGGGTACTGTGTCGTGACATTGTGACCGGCCTGGATTAAAGCACATGTGCAAGTTTTGGGTTTCTGGCACCAAATCATTGAAATACAGGCCCCTATCGTAGCTTGGAATCAGTGATCAAAGATCATTGCCAACCACGCAAACAAGTGTGTGTCTCGGATCTGCTTTATGGGCTTGGCAGAACAGCATCTTCATCATCTTCCTTGATGGGAAGAAGTTAATACTATATATATATATACTTAATCAACTTAAGGCATGGCGAACATACTTTTGTCTTGCGCTTTTCTTAATGTAGATATGAGGGATTCGAGAGTCGACCTTTCAGAACTCCCCCCTTGGCACCCAAACCGGTCCATATCTCATGTCGCTGCATTTGCCACAGGCTGCAATTCTCAAGTGTGCAGCCGGACCTTGTGCTTTTGTACAGAAATGAATGTAGCTTGGGCCATTGATGGCACAAAACAGCAACTGCGATCAGTACAAATTTTAGGCCAACTGCTTCGAGTTGCCATTTGACACGCGGAGTTAATGGTTGCCAAACTCTCAGAAGGTGAAAAGCACCCCGTATTGAAATTGTTAGCTCCGGCCATATCACTGCATGTTTCAAGTACTTTCTTGTGGATTCACATTGACGGGCCAATTTCTATCTATGCTTTTCAGACGCTTTTCAGTCTCCAGTCTGGGTCAATATTTACAAGATTTTACAAGCATGGCATGGGCCAGGGGGCATGTTATAAGTCCAGCCAACTTTGGGCTCTGCTTGGACCAAGAATCCAACTGGCGAGGAAACTTCAGCGACCAGGATATCAAAAGAAGGGTCACCATCTGGAGAAGTCCCCAACGAGAGACATTTGGAAGTCACACTTCGAAGGACAACTTTGATGATTAACAATCAATGCAGACACATGGCAACAATATGCAACAATATATTCCAGATGCAACGCTGTGTTCTTGCGGGTGGCGCATGGGGTCTCTGCCTATCGTGGCCGTTGTCGTTTCTTTTCCGTCTATTTTCGGAAGAAACTTAAATCAAAGCAACTGATCACACTACGCTTCTTTTCCAGTGTTTTCTGTTGTGTGCTAAGTTTCAACCCTCCTAAGCCGCAACCCTTCAAGCCAGGTAGTAGAAATACTCTTCTTCCATGGAAGTTTGAGGATACGTTTCTGGTACAGTGTGTGAACGTGAATCTCAATCAACGAAGACAACCCCACAGGATTCCTTCTTCCCACACATCACCAAACATCACTACTAAAGTCACAACAAATCACAAGAAGAATCACGACAACAAACATCAATAGACAAAAAAAAACAGCAAACCTCAGCCACAAATCGCTGCACGTCCATATTGGCACAATTCACGAGAGATTGATCATAACTAGAAACCAGCATTGCTCGTGACGGAACTTTTAGGAAGAAATGGAATTCGACCAAGTGACAGATTTGGAGCCTCAAACAATCAATTATTCAGACATCAATTAGTCATTATTTGGACCCATTTGTTCCATTGAGAGCTCTAAATGACCAACTTCTCCTGATATCACGAGTCATGTCTGAAGTTGCACTGCGAGCGCACATATTTTCCATCAAATGAGCTTTGGGTTGTCGCGCACCATTCCCCTTTGTAGCTTGAATTCGACCTGTTGCGAAGACTTCACGAAAGAGAAGCTTTGAGATACCTACCTACTGCTAGCTGCAGTCCAGGAATGGCATGTTATCGGCATTCTATTTTCTGACAGTCACCATTCCCCTGAAGGCAGCAAACAAAGCGTGCCATGGCGTATCCTTTGCCGCCCACGCTAGAGATATCATCCAGGAGCCACCGCGGCCCCTGCTCCGCCTCAAATCCTTGGGATTTTGAGACGACCTGATTCACCCGTGCGACCGAGACTGACGACTGGAAGGCTCGAGTCTGGCAAATAAAGCAGGGAGTCACTTTTGAACATGATTGGTTTTTCAATTAAACACGAAACACCTATCATAGAACATGCACTGTATTGCTATACATTGCCATACAATATACGTATATGTACTGTATATATTAACATAGATGTCCGTATCTGACATGTACGCATGTTTGATGATCAATGGGCCCAGCATGGTTGTGCAAAAATTGCTCCAGAATTACTCGCACAGTATAAGCAAGTAATTCAGGTCAGGTCTTGTCAACAATCCAGCCAAACGGTTCGTCTTGCTAAAGCTCCCCCAAACTTTAGGTGTGAGAAAGCCAAGATAACCCGTAAACTTGTTGCGTCTGCCTGCTCGTGTTTCAGACATGCATGCCATAAAACTACTGTTGAAAAAACAACAAAAACAACAAAGCATAGCAACATGATAATCAACTGTCTCAGTGCATCTGATGCTGGCAATACATTTGGGATGCAAAGGGCACCGCTTTTTATGTCTGTCCTTGCAGAGTTGCATAGAGTTGGCCTGTTATATTTCAAACAGGGAGCAAACTCTGAAACCAAGTATAGTGTAATGTACTTACTTTGTTTAGGTGCCTCCCTGCTGGTGGACATATCCTACGAACAAAGCTCGAATACACAGGATATTCGATATTAATATTAAGTCAAGTATGTTTCAATGCTAATTTGACTTATATATGCATGCCATTCATCAGCAGTCAGTACAGTAATCTCCTGAAGCCATCGAACTTCTCGCACTAGATTTGCATGATGGATCTTTCATAGCCTGCTGTAAGGGCAGTGTAGATCTCGGTGGTCGCCGTATCATTAAAAAAGTTTGTTGAAGAGAGCCTTTCGAACTTTGGATGCAGGGTTATCACTTGGCTCCTGTCTTTTTGGTATACACTACAAAAAGGCAAACGCATCCAGGTCTCAAACGGAACTGTGCTAAATGACACATTGCGCAATTGGAAGCCATGATCGAGGGCAGTCTTGCAGAACTTATATAAGCGCAAACGAATCGAGTTACATCCTTATAGGTAGCTCATGTGAACTTTACCGTGCTAGCGTGAACACCTTCTGCCAGCTGTGTCATGCGAATCTCGACCGTTCGAATTACTGTGAAACCCGACTTGAGCTGGTGCAAAAATTGGCAGCAGCGCTATGCAAATACCATGAAATACCTAATGTGGGAAGCTCCAACACAGCAAAAATATCAACCCTGTTGGATCATCTCTTCAAGAGACTTTGAACCAACGCACCACTTGCTGACAGGTCCATCTTCAGTGCCTCTTGCTGACGCGGCTCTGCCAACTCCACAGTCTGCTTTGCAGATCGCAGCCCACTACACTGGACACTTAATCGATCAAATACAATGGTGAAGTACGTGCAACGCACCTGTGTAGCAGCTAATATTGTGCTTGTTACTACTAGTAAGACACCTTGCTACTAGTAGCAAGAAAGCTACTTACTAGTAGTAATGCCAAGAGCTACTAGTGCTTCTTGTTACTACTAATCTTGTGTTTTACACCTTCTTGACAGCCGAAGTGACCTGACTCTCCTACAAATTGACACTGTTGTCAGACTTGAACGAGCCCCTTTTGCGTGAGAGTTTGAGCTACCTACTGATCGGCACACTCTGAATCCTTCAGTCATCTTTGTCTGAGAGCACATCAACGATCTCATCATCGGAGAAGCCTGGACCACTGGATCGGGTTTCAACATGTTTCATTTATAGACTGACTATATATAAAGTTTAGACTGCATATATAGCTCAAGATCCCAATCAGCTCCAGGAGACCTGATGACTGCATGAAGTCTGCGCAGCACTAGCAAGTGACCACAGGATGACACCATGCACAGCTATTCAGCTGAGTGCAAGTTTCTGCTGGGACATCCGGGTCGGTCTTTGGGAGTGTCTAGTGGCGTTCTTGCTACTAGTAACAAAGGGCAAGTAGCAAGGGCATCGGCATCACTACTAGTAACAAAGAAAACTTGTCATGAGTCATAAGTAACTGCCAGCTGATCCCGACTGATTGCTGCAATGAACACATATTGGCAGGTATGGGCCAGGTGGCAGCATATGGAGAGTTCAGAACAAGTCACGGCCTTCTTCCTCGCTTTCTTCCCAATCCTCAGTGGAGGCTTGGGGATCAGATTTGCCTGCTCTGAATGACGGCGTGTGAACCACTTCTCCTTCCCTTCTATATCCCAAGCACACCCGTCCAGGACAAATAAGACTACAGGCAATGTTCGAACCTTTGTCTGCAACGTGGCACAACATGATACCTTGCTGGGCAGTTTGTACTTTGGTCGACTTCTCATGGGTTGCATGCGTCGCATGAAAGCATATATGGATATGGATCAAAACGAGTCTGTTTGCTTGATTTGGTTTGAGCGAAGCTGTTCATTCTTCACCTATTGGTTCCCCTTAAGATCCTTTTGCTTAGCTTCTGCTTTGTTTTTGCTAGAACCCTGACCTAAAAAATCATTGACCACACCACCTATTTAGACTCATTCAACCAGGGTAGTCTGCCAGCCGTGTGGAACTATATAAGCTATGACGGTTCTAGGGGTTGGAATAAAGCAAACACTTGGAACCCTAGGAAAAATGTCAGAACTTTTCTTTCTATTGTTCAGCTATTGGTTCCTTTTCAGAGCTAAGACATTTGATGAGTGTGACAGAATGCAGTCAAGCACAACTAGCAAAAAAAGTAATGAACTCAATCATAAATGAAGAAGTTAATGGAAGAGTGTTTTTGATTACATATGAAGGTAGGAGAATATGGCAGTGCATTGCCAATGTCATGGGATTGCTGGAGTCACCACGTACGCAACATTTACTACTACTGTTGTTGCTCCGGCTACTGCTACTGCTACTACTACCACTACCTTGCTAGAGGGGGGGGGTTGATCGTTTGAGATCCAGCATTAGTGAGCCAAAAATTTTGTAGCGTTGGCTGTCCGAGAGCACTGCTGGTCTTCCTGAGGCCCCATGCTGCATAAACTTCAATGATGTACCGACGGCGCAACCAAATGCAAAAACATCCGCCGCAGCAGCAACAGGCACCTCGGAGCTACATGACTAGGTTGCATTTGCTGGACTTTGAAGAGTTGCATGATTGGACGATATTGGACATACAAAAATGGCGCGAGGAACACTTGAAACATCTTGAAACAACTAAATAACTACTAGACATGATATCAATGATATCATCAGATTCAGTTAACAACAACTGCTCAAACAATGCAACATAACATAGCGTGTAAGAAGTTCAACATTCAACATGGTTTCGGAAAAAAAATTGGAAATATACTTGGACGCTCTGCTGGTTCAAGGGTTAACGAGCGGAAAATCAATGCGCCATGCAAGCGTGTCTAGAGTCCTGATCTGGGTCATCAGTTCAATCTTTAGAATATCAACATTCCCTCAGTAAATAATATTGATGGCGTGTACTGGTAATTATGCATACATAAATGTGCTACACTCCCAGCAAATTGTCCACCTTTTTGTTCTGTGTTTCAACTAAGGTTTGTTCCTATTG